GGGGGGGGGGGATAAATCAAGCAAGGATATAACGAGGAAAATCCTGCCACCCAACAAACCAAGGATGTGTTGAGCATGGGGGGATAGTAGGTCGGCCTCACACCCCGCCATACCCAACCGACGAGGGGCGCACTTGCGATAAAACACCAAAATGTGAAGGCACAAAACGCCCCACGTTTGACGGTACGTCCATGCCACCAATCAACCACGCCGGTTTTCAGACGGTGTGGGGTAAAATAATCAATGGACGAGCCCAGGTGCCACGGTCTCTGTAGAAAACAAACAGGCAAAGAGGAAAAGCGAACACCGTTAGCACAGATATGGACCAAGGAAAAACACATTAAGAGTACCAACCGTGAAGAAAAAAATGATGCACAGGTGCAGCCCTGAAAGGGTCCACAAAAATGCGAACACAAAGGTCTCGTCTTGGGCGAGCGACAGGCCCACTATTTCAACCAACTCACCACATCCATGGTTGCCAGCTCGATTCGATGCCGGTTAACTTGGTCTTGGTGTTGGAGTACCTTCACAGCTACCGTCTGATCCCCGTACTCCGCCAAGTACACTCTTCGCACACGACCCTTCCCGACGAGTCTCGCGTCGTTTGCCAGCATAGCCTGGGCAAGGTTTCCAGCACCAGGCGCAGACCCAGCCAAAAACAAAAATTTAGAATCATTATTATACGAAAAATGTACAGAGTTTTCCCGAGATAGCGTTGTCTCGGCGGTGCTGGGGGGAACGACATGTTCACACCTCCGGCTGAACCGTTTTTTGTGCTTGTACTCGGACATGACGTCCAATCTACCCTCGATATCGAGATTCGGTTTCGATTTCGATTCAAGATCACGGGCGGGTGATGACAACAACCACCCTGATTCATTATATGCCGAACAGGCCAGCAGTAAAAAAAGAAACAACGGGTCCGTTCCATACTTTGTGTCTCAAGGCTAGCCGTAGTCGTCCATGCTTTCTACTTCGGGGGCTTTGGCATCCTTCCTATTCTCTCATCTCTTGCCAAGAACACTACAGTACGGGCCCGGAGATAAGAAAAGTCAACATCGGGTTGAGGCTCAATCTCATCTTTTAGGTCGAAGGGCCAGCCGAAGTCGTCTATTTTCTTGAAAAGGCGTTTCTTACTCCCTTGGACTGTCGCATCCTCCTGATTCTCCTATTTCTTATTTCCTTGTTTCTGGCTGAGAATACAACACACCAAATATTCATGCAGCAGCGGATAAAGCAGCCCGCGGAGGCGCGGAGTAGATATATCATAGTGCGGAGGGGGAGGGGGCCGCGACAACAATAATTCTCCCGGCAGGAAGAAAAAACACGGTGAAGCTTTGGGTACGAAGGGGGTGTGAGGACGGAAGGAGCAGCAGTGGGACGTTTCTTGTGGACACGCTCCCCCAGCAACCCTTGTTTCTGATGTGGGGGGGTATCACACGATCATGTTTCTTATTGGGACGTTTCTAATGTTGTGGCCGAGATTGAGCTGTGGTTCTTTCATATTTGTCGTAAAAACTTTTTTTCTTGACGGATTTTTTCTTAATTGCAGGCCCGTACTGCTGTACACCAAGCTTTCATCTTTCATGCGACATTGGCCCAAAATTCTCGGTGTGGCGAACATCGACCGAGGGTGGTCACCCTCCTGAGTTGATAGTCTTACTCCCTTTCTCGTGGTCACTCCCAGGGGCACCCACGCTCCGACGGCGGCGGCTTCATCTAGCCAATGTACGGGCAACGGTGGCCAAGGTATCTACATATATGGTGATATTTCCAATTCAACACACGTCCGTAGCTACCGTTTCTTGTTGGGGTACCGCTCGTTCCTGTGGCTTACCATACGGTACGCCCAAAATTGAGGTGTGTTTTCGTACAAGGCCAACTTTCTACCGTTTTTGCGAACGTTTCATGCTGTTTTCTGAACAAAACTTCTATCTTCGGGCCCGTTCCGTGTACGCCTTGCACGAGCAAAGCACCTGATACCTCGGTGACCATAGGCGGTTCTGCCACCCTTCTTTCGCGTATGTAGTACTGACCAACCTTTTTTGACAATACATACACATGCAATCAGGAGAAAGATTACACATTTATTTCTAGATACAAACTTTGTTTATGTTCAGCACTGCCTTTCTCAATGTAAAGACTAAACATATTGGAACCCGCCAGAACTATAATTAAAACAGAATATGTAGACCGGGTGCCCGATATTTTGCCCACCTAGGTATCCCTTTTTGATGTGGGAAATGTTTTTGGGGGGGCGGTATGAAGTGACCACCCCCCCCCCCCCCCCCAAACGCTTTAATAAATTCAATATGAAACCGTACAATACTAACTCCAATATTTGAATGGGGCATCATGTTTTGCAGGGGGCTTATTGTGCATCTATCTGTGTGTGCCCCCTATGGCCGCGTGCGCGCGTGCGGGCTCGCTGCGTCTGTACGCGCTCTTTCGGCGCACAACAACTACAAGTAAGCGATGAGAGGGAGAGCATGGTCAGCGCACCCTCAGGTGGGGGCATCGGCCTAGGCTAGGCTGCTGCGGCGCAAGATTACGGTCAATTATGTTCTCGGCGTCCAAAAAAGGTTAACTCGGACTTCAGCGACGAAGGG